TTCGAAGCTCGAAATCTGCAGAAAATCACTGCCGGAATTTCCAGCATTATGACAGGCCGTGGTGCTTTGTCTCCGACCCCAAGACAGTGTGGGAGTACTGTGAGATCCCCTTCTGCGACGACCCCAGTACGTCCCAAGACGCGTATGACTGAAGTATGAGACGTTTCACTGAGACTCAATCGTGTCGTTGTCTTCTAGACCCACCGGAATGCAAGCTGAGCCGTCATGGAATGGAATACATGGGAAAGCTGGACGTGACGATGTCTGGCTACCCTTGCAAGCCTTGGCTGACGATGATAGGCCCCAAACTTTTTCAAGCCCAAGTATATCAATACGTAATTTCAGACGAACTTGATGGCAGCCACCGGTTCTGTCGCAATTACGATGAAAATCGCCACGGCCCATGGTGTTTCTCTGACACTGACAACGGACCTGAATGGGAGTATTGCGATGTTCCCTTCTGCTCCCAAGTAGACGGGAGACCGTGCGAGATTAAAGTGGCAGGAAATTGCGTCAGTGAGTATTTTTCTCAAGTTAATTTAATTCAATTTATTGTCATTCTCTACGTTCCGTCTTTCGTTAACTGAAGTCTCTTCGACACGCGCAACTGAGGCATTATAGAAACTTTCTAAACCGTTTCTCATGATTTCAGTTTAATGCGGAGTAAAACTTGGATTCTGGTAATTCTTGTACAGACTATATATCTTGTTCACAAGCACCACTTCATAAAAAAATCCAACTTAACCAAGGCAATGCAACCACAAGCCAGTAAAATATTGTAATGCGGTTATTTTTCAAACGAGTGACACATTTCAACGTTTCTGCCACGTTGTTCCATATCTCGGCAACGAAGTTTTTTTGAGACATTGTGTAGTTCCATGGACGTCACTGTGTTACTTTGCAGCAATGTTCCTGTATCGTTTCTTGGACGTCATATGTAGCCTCTGCAGTTAATTCTACGATACCGTTTGCATTGCTCATTTACGTTGCATTTGGTCTTCAACATTATGGAATGCCTCAGGTGAATTTCCAATCCATCCATCCCATGACTTGCCATAGGCTGGGCTGAAGCCCCTCCCCTCCTCCCGCGCTGTCTTTTCCTCACACATCACCTAGTTAACTCACTCCCTCCCTCACTCCCTCCCTCACTCCCTCCCTCACTCCCTCCCTCACTCCCTCCCTCACTCCCTCCCTCAC